GCAATGCAACCAAAATGGCAACAACAACAACCACAGCCAGCAGGATGCATCCAAAGAGGGAGGGCAGGCACAGGCCGCTCTGATGTGGACGATCAACCTATAGCCCAAGTAAATTACGACAACGACGACGACGACGACGACTGCAAGTCAACCAGTCAAGTCAGTCAAGACAAGAGTCATCTCCCAGAGAGTCTGTAGAGTTTGTAGCCGGCCCGTGAGTATATGTGAGTTAAGAAAAGTTAAGAAAGAAAGCAAGTTGCTGGCCAAGAAGCAGCCTCCATTTCGCCTCGTTGTTGGGCTTTTTCTTTTTCCTTTGTTGTTGTATTTACAAACGGCCCAAGGTTCGTTGACCGTACAAATAGTGACCCACTAACATCCGCGAGTACGTTCACCCTTGTGACGTATTGCTCGTACCACCAAGATCGAAGAAGACGAAGCAGCAGCAGCCGAAGCTCCGATTCCGACTCCGACTACGACTACGACAACGACAACGACGGCAACGAGGCCGAAACGAACCCGGCTCAAACCTTCTGGGCCACGACTTTGACTAAGACTCTTCGTGTGCTTGGTGCGGTCGGTGTGGTTCGAAGCGAACCGAAAGTTGGTTGCGGCTTAAGAGCAAGTGAAGCGAAGCTTAAGAGTAGCCCCACTCGCACCTCACTCTTACTCTCTGGGCTAAATGCGGATATCCAATGTTGCAAGTTACACAGCCTTTGGCCGTTTGTGTTTGTGTGTGTTAATCCCATCGGAGCGGACATCTTCATCAGGCTAGATTAACAGCAAATTGGATGGTCCGAACTGCTAATCTTAACTGATTTTTCCTTGACCATAAAACAACGAGTAACGTATCTGTTGCAGCAATCAATTATGATTTCTTGTATCTTGTATCTTGTCCTTGCAGCCTGCTCGTATCTGCTCGACCACACCTCTAGCTGGCCCCGGGTTCTGACCTTTGCCAGCCTTGACAATTGCCGCCGCCGCCTTGGACTCAAGTTCAGGCCTCCTCCTGCTGCTGCTGCCAAAGAGCAAACCTGAAATTGCCACATGCGGTGAAAGTAAAAATTCATAATTTTTTCTCTCTCTCCTCCTTAGAGGTGCTGTGTTGTTGCAAACATTTTGCCCAAAGAGGCCATAAAAATTGCTAACCAACTGCGCTCCGCAGCGGCAACAGCATCGGCCTCAGCCTCAGTCTCAGCGTTGGTGGCAACAACGCGCGAGGTGGCATGCAGTTTTCCAAGCCCCTTTTTACCACTTCATTAGCCGGCGAGCGGCTTTGAATTGGGTTTCGGTTTTTGGGTTTTGTTTCGGGTTTTCGGATATTTTGGGCTCGATTCGGGTTCGGGGGTTCGCCGCCGCTATCTTGGCATTTCTTTTACTTTCGTTCGTAGTTTTCCAAATAATTTTGCCACCAAGGTGTGGGCCAACAAAAAGCAACAACACCTTTTCAACAGCCAAGAGCCAAGGCTGGGGTTGCAACTGCGGCTGAGCCTCAGACTGAGGCCGCGTTGATCATGAACATGACACAATATTATGGATTATGAGGCACCTCTGTTATTGTTGTTATTGTTGCTGCTGCGGGTTGCCGTTTGCCGTTTGCTTGTGCGGCAAAAGGAAAATTTTCGGTGTGGCAAAAACATTTCAATTTCTATTTCACATTCGACTATCTCCGGGCCGTGGCTGGAGTTCATAATTTAGCGTTTATTTATGAGTTGTCAAGCTGTTGGCTACGTGACGTGTCGGCCTTGTTGGGTTGTTCAAGTTCAAGGCGTTTTGGCCGGCCGGCGCCTGGAGACGTTTAGATCAATTTGATATTTATGAGTTTATGCAGAAATCTGTCTGTTCCCAGGCAGGATTGGCCCACACACGGACCTGGTCTTGGATCCTGGGTCCTCCCTGCGGGTCCTGGCGATGTCATGAATGAAATGCATAAGGAGTAGGCGGAGGTGGAGGAGGCGAAGGAAGATATTCAATATGATCCTGGCAGCCTTGAACTTCAGTCTCGTCCATGGAGTCAGCAGACAGCTGCTGTGCTGCTACTGCTGGCTGTATGGCATCTTCCATCTGATTGGGCACATGGGAAGCGAAACATGGCTAAGCTTTGGGCCAGGCCAGGATCAAATAACTATTGGCAGCAGCTGCTTGCTTCCGATTCACACGCTCCCTCCCAGGCCCAGGCCCAGGCCCAGGCCGTGCCCAGCCGAGTGAGGCTGCCAAATTGGCTAACAATTTTCAAGTGGCTGCTGCTGCTGCTGTTGCTGCTGCTATTGCTGCTGCAATCATTGGATTAATTTTAATATGTCCATGGCTATAATGGCTCGGACTCGGCTTCTTTCGACCTAGCCTGCATCTATGATTATGGGCTCACGGCATCGATTCCGAGTCGGACCTGGAGTCGGAGTTGGAGTCGCCACAAACACATGTACATAAATGTAGCAACATTGGTTGCTCGGCTGCCTCGATGGCTGGTACTGCCTGGTTGCCACTGGAATTGCGACCTCTTTGGCGCTACCAGTGCTGCCACCGGTGCTGCTACTGCCACTACTACTGCCACTGCTGTTGTAGCTGGTTACGAAACCCCAAGAAAAACTTCCGCATTCATTTAAGATCATTTCTGTCGTTTGCTGCTCCAAGTGGTTGTTGCTGCTGCTGCCGCTGCTGCTGCTGCTGCCGGTGCAAGAGTTGCAACAAGCATCAACAGCAGCCCCCCCTCATTTGGTGTTGCTTGTCTGTTGTTTGCTATTATTAATGCCGCCGCCACCACCACCACCGCCGCCGTTGCCGTTGCCTTTACCTGCCCCAACTCTTCTGCCACTGCTGTTTTCTTCATTTGTAGCTGCTGCGCTGTTTTCGCGAATTTATGGATCAGGCAACAACTGTGCACACGGCGCGACATGGAGCCGGTAGGCTGGCAGCTAGTTGCTGCGGCAGTTGCGGCAGCCACTGCGTCGTCTGCCCCCCAAAGACAAGCGCCCAATTGACAAGGTGTTTTGGTGATTGTCTATACCGGATTGCGGGCCAGTCGTTGATGATGTTGCTGTTGATGTCATACTTGGGGGCAGCTGACAAGTCAGCTGATGCGATGGTCTCTGAAGCAGATGATGATTGCTAGAGTATATGGTAGGCGGGGCGGGTTTTGGGAAATGAGTTGCAATCGAAGATCCGATACGTGATCCTGAAAAACCCAAAACCAAATGGAAAAGCATTCAAGCCCAAATAACTATACTTCACGTCCAAAAATTCTATATTTAAATATTTAAATCCATCCTCTTTTGACCCAATTGACATATGTATGTATAAGTTGATTAAGTTTGATCTGCAAGTCTATTAAAATAATGCAAAAGATTACTTTTTAGTATTTTTAAATTCATGTTTTACTTTGACATTATCTCCTATAGGAAAAATTATTCTTGGTAACATTTTTTCTTCAAAGTCTCTCTATGATATTAAACTATCCGAAAAAAAATCCAAATAAATGTACTCAATCTCGGGTAATACTAGATTTTTGAACTTTAATTATCACGGAGTTTGATGTCTCCGTCAGATGCATACGCGGATTTAAAACCAAAAAAAAAGGAAAGATTTACTGCATTAGATAGCTTGGAATATTAATTCTCAGTACTTCAGATATTATCACGAAAAAAAATATTATACGGATAGTCCAACCCAGTTCGCAGAGTTTTGCATTTTTGTACCATAACCCCAAAAATGACTTCTGTTTTTTGTAACGTAACGTCAGGACATAATTTGGCTTATATCTTTAAAGCCGTTCATTCGACTGTTGTAATTTTATTGGTGAATCCTATATTCTACCCAATTGTTATCGAATAACAAAAATGGTATCTGCATTGTAAACCAGATCCAACAGTAAGCCTTATAAATGGAAGCTGCTGGAGAGAACTCAACAAGTCCTGCCATAATCAGGTCATGCCTTGGCTTGCGTCCCCGTTAGTTGGCCTTTTTTCGTTCGTTTATTTTGGTCTGTGTCGCCTTACCAATAAATTCACACTAACGGGGCGAAACGGGTAAGAATACCCGTGCAAAAAAAGAAGAAAAGCCTTACGTTCATCAATAATAAATACAGTTAGCCAGATCCAGAGCCGAGTCCCGGCTTGGCCATATTACCAAATGCAACCAGTTCGCTCGCCGCTGGCCACTGTCCGCTGTCCGCTGTCCGCTGGCCGTGGCACTGTCAAATGTGGAGGCCTGCGTCAATAAATTACCTAGAAGTGCACCTAACCAAGAGCCGAGAACAGAATGCGAGAGGAAGAAGGTGGCCAAGAAAGAGGCAACGGTACATTATGCAATCACAGCATGAATGAGACACTCTTGACCGAGTTTCCAAAGCCAGGCAATAACGGTACCACGACAAATGCGACAGCTGACAAGTGGCCCCAACAAGGGGAAGGCAGAGCCACCAGAGACAGAGCTACAGCCCAGAGTCCCAGCCCCACTCCCCAGTCCCAGTCCCAGTCCCAAGCTCAAGCTCAAGCAAAGAACGGCACACAGAGCAGAGTAGAGACTAACGGGTTCTAGGCTTTGGCCAAGAGAAGAAAGAAGGAAAAGATATAGGAGAAGAATACAGAGGAGTGCTCTGTACAAGAACAGGGAAGAGCCACCAAGAGCTCGAAAAGCAGGGCGCTAGCCAATTATGCAAACAATTCTGCAACAAAGAAGTAAAGGAATAATCGCAAAATAGAGTTTAAAATGTGGTATCTTTAAATACGAGATCGAGACTACAGATTAGTGGGTGGAAATTATGAGAATTATAGCCATTGAACATGCATTTCTTCCATCATCTTCTTGCTTTAAAGAAAAACGAACAACATAACCATTCAGGAGGCATTGTTCTAATGTTGCATTGTGGAGCAAGACTAGAATAACTATGCCGTGTTCCGCATATAAACACAACTGATTATCTCTTGAACCCAAATCCAATGAAATTTCATCAAAATGTACCCAAGTTCCTAGTAATTTCGCCAATCAACCTACACGAGTATGTCTTCAGTTCTTTATACTCGAAATTTGCATTTATTTAAAAGTTATTAGTGATGCTGTAAGTGGACAGAGGGTTAATATTGTTGGTTAGATCGATACATGTACATGTCTAAGTACGGGACTTGGGCTTGTGTAATATAAAATGCAGCCGGGATCGGGATCTAGCCTAACAAGTGAGTCTTCACCAAGGAGACAAGAGGAGCGGCAGTGGGCATGGCTGGATATTCCCCGGCACTGCCGGCAATATCAATGTGGGTATACTTGAGCGGCACCTTCGCATTGATGCCGTGCTTATCGAGCCCGGACGCCATGATCATAAATGCGGCGGGCACCTGGTGTCCGCGTGGGGTACGCACCGACGGGGCATTGTTCGCCTGTACCAGATCCTCTCCAATGACCTTGCCAGCATTAAAGGCAAAGTCGCTGGGACGCAGCACAGAGACCTCGAAGGGTTCGCCATAGGTCTGGCCAGCTGCCTGAAGTTTACGAGCATGATCGGCCTGGTGGGCCACACTGTTGTCTATGGCGATCGACTGACCCTCGCCGGCCGAGATAAAAGCATGGCCCGTCAGTGTGGCGATCGTGAAGAGATGCGGATCGGGCAGACTCTGCTCGACGGCCATCTCCTTCATGCGGCAGAGAGCATCTGTCATGCACATTCGTCCCTCGGCATCTGTGTTGCCAATGCGAACGAGGAGACCTGCTCGGGAAGTGATGATCTCATCGGCCACGTAGCACTCCTCTCCCACGGAGTTGCGGACCATGCACAAGGCGGCAACGACATGTATATCCTCCGGCTTTATCTCGTTGACCACCTTCATGAATCCAGCGACAGCAGCAGCTCCGCACTTGTCGCGCGACATTCCAGCCATTACACCACCGGCTTTGATATCGGCACCGCCAGTGTCATAGGTTACTCCCTTGCCAACCAGCATGAGCGTCTTGCGGGCAGGCTTGGGAGGCTTGTATTCCAGGAAGATGATGCGACCTCTGTGACGCTCCACCACATCGGCAGCCCGATTGACGGCTGCGAACAGAGGATAGTCCTTCTGCAGGGTATTCGAATCGCTGATCACATTCATGCTGAGCTTGTCAAACAGATTCTTGACGTATTTCTCCACCTGGCTGGGGGCCATCCTCTCTGGGTCGCCACCGCCGATGTCGCGGGCCACGTAGCGACCAGCTTCCAAAATCAAAGCCTCGCGCAGAATCTCGTCCGCTTTGGGATCATCGATCTGCACATTGAGGGTGGTTACACGGGTGTCCTTACCGGGCTGGGCTTCACGTAAATGAATGGGCTGAGAGATAGCAGAGAGAGAAAAATCTTGTAGGGCTTGGAATTGCATTGGAATTGGATAATTCTTACAACATACAGCTGCTCCAAGGCGCCGAGCACGGTGCACAGTTCTGCCTGGGGAAAGCGCTTCACCTTGGGCACAAACAGCAACGGAGTGTTGAAGCCAGCCTGTGAGAAGATAGCGTTTTGAGTGTTTCCTATTAGATTTGAGCCCAAACTTACCTTGAGGACCTTCTGCATGGATTTTTTGGCAGCCTCCTGATAAGATCGGACATCATCGTAGTCATTCAGATCACCCACGGGTGCGTAGACCACAGGCTGTTCCACATTAGCGGCTCGGAAGCAGGAGATGCTGCTATCGAAGGACTTGTCGAACGAGCGATGCTCGTCGAAAGTAGCCTTAAGTTCTGTAGGCAGAACATCCTGGTCAATCACACAAACGCAATCGGTGCCACTTCCTTTCATCAGCTTATTCAGCCTCAGGGTGCATGGTACAAATCTGTGAGGACAAAGTGCGAAACGGAATTATCAGTATTATTATTAATTGAGAAATATTTTAATCAACATTCTTCATTGAAATGCAATTTTATCACGCGCCAGTTGTTTATTGTTGAGCAATTGATATCCCCTTGACGGGGAATACTGGGGAATCCCCTTGACGGGACTGTACACGCCCATGTCTATTACGTCTCTCTCTTTCTACTTGGCGCTGAGATTATCTTAACTTTTGAAATGCAATAAAGTTTGTATTAAAGATAAGCATTTCGAATGACCCCACTCAAGAAAAAAATGAGGCTTCGATGTCGAAGCTTTAAATACTCTTACATGAATAGCATGTGAATCTCTTTGATCTTTCAGATAATTGATTTACTATCTTTAAAACATATGTATGATATAGAGATCCGATACTTCTGCCTCTGATAAATTATCTATTGATCAAGTGTGTGCCAAAATGTTCAGCCAGATAGATTTTTTAACTAGACTATGTAGATCCGCTTAGATAACCTTCTCTTTTGTACACTTGAAGCCCTTGATAAACATATCCTAGTACCCTCTGCGAGGGTATACAACTAATTGCCTAATTTTGAAAAGATGGCGTATCACAAACTAGAGCTTTTGGAAAAACATTCTATCGCTAACTAACTTATTTTACTTACTTTTCGATGCCCATATTCGACTTGAGCGGGAACACACAACTGATTCAATCGGGAAGTGGGGCGTCACTGAGCGCCGGCAACAAACAACAGTTGGGTATCACTTCATACAGTGCAGCGGAGTACTGGTTTGGGAACTGGGATCAGGCTGCTGGTGCTGGTGCGGGTGCGAGAACTTATCTGAAACTGAGTGATAAGGCGTGTGTCAAACAATTCCACGAGATAACTTTTTATAGAGCCCAGCCCCGACAAAAACGATCCCTTGACGATGGAACAAACAATTTGCAATGATGTGCTTTGGTGGCCGTCCCGAAGCTTTTTATACTTACATTTGTGAAGGAACGGGTGGGTGTGTGTGCAGTGTGCAGGCACAAAGCAAATTGCACGAGCTATGAATAATGGTTTCAATGACCACAATGTAATGCTAGAACTTGCAAATAAAGGCTACAACAATAAAAGCAAAGTCTACTCACGTCGGAAGTCGCTTGCCAGTTTCTACTTGCCAGTCACGTTCACGGTTAGTGCAGATTTTTTGCGAAAAAATCAAGTCAAACCGGCATGGGAAAGCTTTCAAATGCCAGGTCAGCTGTTAGCCGGCGTTGCCAACCACATTGAATTTCAAGAGTGGAGTCTGCTTTTGGTAACAAAGTACAGTAAAAGCTCCTTCGCGACTACAATGCAGACTCATAGAAAGACAACCTCTAAAAAGATAAATCGTACATTTATTCATTATTTATGTAGCTCTGTATGTCCTTAATCAACTGCGGGAACTGCTTGGCATCCAGTGCCAAGAGCTTTCTGTATGGCGTCATCACCGCATCGCCCTCCAGCCAGTCCCCTGACATGCCGGAATCGCATTCGGAGGCCACAGACCACTCAAAGGAGAACTTGGCCCGCTCTGAGAGCAGTTCGTCCTCGGCATTGGTGTAGATATCCTCGGCAGGCTGGCCTTTCTTGGCCTCCTTGCGAAAGAACTTGACAAGGAGCAGCAATGTTCCGAAATTGAATTTCATTTTTTTGGTCTTAGCGTGGTCAATTTCCATCTTTAAGTTCTCAAACAACGGCACGCATATCTGTGCGGGTATGTTGATGAAACGTTCGTTAATTAGGAATCCCAAATGGGGCTGTTCTTCGTTGTCCAGCAGATAGCTCAGCTGTTCCAGCGCTGTCTCCGAGGCATGCGACTTGGCGCGATCGAGCAGATACGTGCGCAGCTGGCTGACGCTTGGCTGGTCCTTCTTGGCCGACAGATTCAATACGGAGGTGATGCCAAAGACAGTGCCTTCTTCCACCATATTGTCATCAGTTTCGCTCTCAAGTTCGTCGTCGTCGACCTGGCAGATTACGCTGCCCACATGGTTTTGAGCTGAAAGAGATGGATTAGACAGGACTAAGGAATGGACTCTATAGCGCTGCTTCACCTATAATCAAATCCGCCATCTGATTGCAGTTGATATGGGCCCGCAAGAAGAGACGCTGCAGCAGCTGGGAAATTCCCTGGGTATCGGGATCCACGGGTGTACGACCCTCGAAGTCAATTTGCACCTCCTATAACGTATATTGTATGTTCAATTCTATTTTCGTTTGCTTTATTTGTAGGCAGGACGCACCTCATTGCCAGTGTAGGCGTCTGGATGTATTCCGTCCTCATTCTCGTCACTGGAGCTCGAGTCGTCATCCTTTTGATCTACCTCCATCTTATTCAGATTCTTACGCTTGCTGGCAGACATTTTACCAAAACTTTTCAGTTAATATAGTTTATTTTATGTTTCTTGGTTGAAAACAGCTGGATGTGTGGATACACACGTGTGTAACGGCGTTGCCAGGCATTTCTTGTTCGACATGCGCACACCAGAGGGTTGCTAGCAGTGCTGCCAGCTCAGCCAGTTTTGGCTAGTTTTACAATTTTATTTATTTTAAAAAATCGTACACTAAGGTTTCAATGACGTCTACTTGAATATGCTCGTATAGTACTCCTCTTCCAGGTCGTACAGGTCCATTGCCATTTCGTCCCTTAGCTTCATGAGTTTTTTGTCGCACTCAATCTGCGTGGATCGGAACAGTTGAGAATTGTTCGTAATGGCTTCGTTCACGGAGTGGAAGTCGTTCAGAATCAGATACTGCTTGAGATCGGCGACTAGCTTCATCAGGGATTCTCCTGCCCGCACCATATTGGAGGCGCGTATCTGCATTTCAAGAGCGTCCTGCTCAGATTGCGTCGTTCGTGAAATCTGACTGTGACTGTCTCTTCGTGCCAGCTTAAGAGTCTCCTCGAAATTCTCCAGCATGCTGCGGACGTCCTCCTTGAGACGCACATTGTAAGATTTGAGCAGGGCCTCCTTCGACTGCGGCAGAATGGTAATACGAGAACCGCTGGCCATGATATCAGCAATAAAAAAAACTTTGGTTTGTTTACAAAATGCGGCCAGCCGGCTTCTTTGTTTGTTTTTTTTTCGATTAATTTTCCGATAGTGCTGCCAGCTTAGCTTTTTTCTGGCTATAAGCCATCCATCTTGTCTTAGATTCATATGTATATTTTTCGCTATTTTGGTTTCTTTTTAAAGTAATACATTGCAAAATAAATTTAAAAAAAAACAATAGCTATTTTGTTCTGATTTTATAGCAAATTTCCGATCATGGGCAGAAGACGATTAACCCATTGTCGACCACGATCAAATTGTTTAAATTTTAGGGGGTTTAAGTGGGCTAAGTTCGTTCACACTAAAACAACAACAAAAACGTGCCGACAAGTTAGGCAATAGAAAAAATAGAAGCTGTCAGCTGAAAATGCATACGGACTTAGCTTCCCATTTGCACACGCCGGCCTGCAATAAACTTATCGAAGAGCTGCAAGCTTGCCACGACAACGTGAGTACGCAAGGGGCCACAGTTCGTCCTTATAACACTTTTTCCTGTCTGCCCACAGAACGCTTTCGGCAGATTCATTGGGATCTGCAACTCCATCGACGACAAGGTGGTGAAGTGCTTGAAGGGCGAACGCATCGCTCGCTCTGCCGCCAACCGAGCCAAGGCGCGCGAGAATCAAGCAAAATACAAGGAGAAACTTCTGCACGGGGAGACCGAATAGCAGAATGGCTGCCACCGCGGATCCCTTGGAGCCCTTCTACTTCGAGCACGAGGAGCAGCAGCGCATTTGCGGGAAGCCGGTGAGCCCCATCACAGATGGCTTCGATGCGAACTATCCCAGTGTTGTGGATCGGTTCTTCACGCGCTTCTACTACATCCGAGCCAATGCCGCCTACCAGGTGCTGTACCACTCCAATCGCATCTGCCTAATCTGCCTGGCGCCCACGCATCCCGCCCTTGCCCAAGGCATTGCCAGTCTAAGCTTCGACGTGGGCAACGTGGATCGCAGCCAGAATGTGGTGAAGGGCAAGGCCAAGAAGGGCGGCATGATTCTGCAGGCGGACTCTACACTGGCGCTGCTCACCACAGAGACGGGACAGATCTACAAGATACCTAGCTGCATACGCGGCAAGCTGGTGGAGGTGAACGCTGCTCTGGTTGCAGAGCCGAAACTGCTGGAGCAGCTGCCCGAGGGAGCTGGCTACTTTGCCATTCTTCTGCCCAAAATTGAGAACTGCGACTTGATCAGGGAGAGCCTGTTGACACAGGAGCAGTACGAGGAGCACTTGAAGGCCACCCAGGAGCAGAATACGGAGCAATTAAAGACCAGCACGGAGCAGAAGGAGGAACATTTGAAGACAAACGAAGAGATGTTGATCACGTGAAATACTGAATAAGTCTTTAACTATTGACTACTGAACATTTATAGTAAAACCCAGAATATGTTTTGTAAGGAATCGGCTGACAATTTCATTGGATGCTACTTAAACTGACTAGTTTTGGCCTTTATTGGTGCATTAGATGACAAACATTCTCTCAGTTCTATAATATCCATTTCCCAGGGTATGAAAAATGTTGCTCAAGCGCAGTGCTGCTCGATTTTACGGCACATGAGTCTGGCCCATACAAATTGAATGTTGCCAGCAGCATAACACGTAAGAAAACGTAGGTGAGTATGGAATGTAAGGAACATTGTTGAGGGGAAAAATCCCAGAGAAAATCCCAAAAAAGTCCCACCAAACTTGAGCGCCAAATAGAAATTGTTTGAATGTGAATCATCGATGTTTTTTCTCAAACATCGATGTTTTTAGATTTCATTAGATTTACAATGGAAGAATCTTCTAGGCCATTTACACTATTATTGAAATGTTTGATCTAATGATGAAATTAGTTTAAAGTATTAACTGGAAGGATTTAATTTAGCTCCTTTTCCTCAGCCTCAGCAATAGGAAAACAACCATAACTAAAAACCAAAAACTCAATAACTAAACGTAGTGTAAAAAAGGTTTTACAAATTCGTAAATTTAATGTTTCAGTGTTTACAAAAATTACAAAGATTTTTTTACTTAGTAAATATAAAATAAATATATGGAAATCAATGTTTCATCAAAGTTTTGCCCCACAAATCCAATTGAGATGGCAGTGCTTCGATAAATCGCTACTGCTGATCGTTAGTGGTGGTTATAAAATTGAAATCTGATATCGATGCTGTTATTGATATATCGGTTTTGCTAAGCGAAGACATGAACCAAATTGTGTACGCTAGAGGGTGCCCTTATTCTTAATGCTTTTCACCCCTAGATGACGCCACCTGGTCTTAGAGATGGCCAGAGTTAAGTTATCAGACGATCTAGCGATGAACGATAGTGCGATCCACTCAGTGATCAATTACGCGGGGAGAAATCATCGCAGGCGGGCATTTTAAATTGTGTTTTTAATCTGCTTTAAATTTCTTTCTGTTCCCTACAAATTGCCCTTCTAAGCTGCTGCGTGAGTGCCAATCAATGCCAAAGGCTTCAACTTCAGCTGCCAGCTAGTTTCGATACATTTGATGGGGTCTTCTACCCAGGGAGCACGGGGAAACACACTCGGCTCGGGCCCTTCTCGTGACTGACGCTGAATGCCACTTAATTCGGTTTTGAAGCGAGTTGCATGTCAAAATGATTGCTCTTCTGCAAACAGCGCATCTGTGTTTGAATTATGATGGAGCGCGCAAATATTCCAGATGCAAATATTTGCACAAAACTACACACACACACACACATCGAGAGAAAGAGAGAGATAGACGCACGCTAACTTGAAGTGCAACAGTGGCTGGCCTGGCAGGAGCTGAAGCAGATACAGAACCCGACTCCCCATAAGTAAGCCACCCACACATGCCATGCACCATTGCCTGCCATGCCCATGCCCCACGCCCCATGCCACCCATGACTACCACTAATGGCAGGCGTGCTACGTCGGCAGTGCCAAGCACTTTTGAGAATGTGTAACCGGCACTGACTGACTTTCGCCAGGAGCAGAGCAGAGCGGAGCAATGCAGTGTCGAGGAGTAGAGCCGAAGAGCAGAGGACCTCTCCTCGTCGAGCTGAGGACGATCCGGGCTCGTTTGGCCGGAGCCAACATTTGGTGCTGCCGCTGCTGTGGCAGACATCCGTTGCCGGAAATACGCTTACAAACGTAACCAGCACGTACAAAATACAGGGTGTCCTTTCGGGTCTGTGCCACGGGGAGGCAGCCAGCCAGCCAGGCAGCCCAGCAGCCATTCTCCTACTGCTTGCCTCCTGTCTGTTTACTTTGCAGCGCAAGACGACGCCAGCGACGCAGAGAACTCAAACAAAATATAACTGTTGGAAGAAGCTGCTGCAATGGCAGCGGCAGCAGCAGCGTGCACAGAAAAAGTTTACAATTTATCTAGTAAAATGTAATTAGGATCCTGGGTGCAGGCGCCCCAAACCCTCAGCATTCGCATTCCGGAGGAAGCACAGAGTTGGGGCTGAAGTGCGTGCAACTTTCTTTGCTTTAAAATTCAGCTGGCTGAACATTTAAGGAACGATTGCGATAAACAGAGTTATAATGAATGTAATCCTTTGTTACTATGAGGAATCCAACAAACTAAAACAACTCCACAAAGAGAAGTTTTTTATTGGATGCATCTTAATTTTGAATAAAACTATCTTTGATTAAAGTTTGGGAATCATATAATCAGAGTAATGTTATGAGAATAGGTTTCATGTGGCAAGTACTACTACTACTATAGTTTCCTAGTGCATTCGATTTCAGATTATAGTTATCAGGATTATACAGTATATACAGAAATATGTGCCATATTGAAGATACTCCCCACGTCCTATAAGTATAATCCAATTATAGTTTTCCGCCTGCTTTGCGCAAATCAATTTCCTATCAAAACTCCACCAACCAAGTATTTGTCTTGGCCGCATCTTAATTTCGCTGGCACATTCATAGTATCATACATATATACATACATATACATCGAGATATATTTGCTGAGAAATTGATTTTCGTTAATTTCTGCTACTTCGAAAATGGCGCTTTGCGAGGGTTGCTCCAACAGTTGGCCCTGGCACTCGAGCAACTTCAAGGGGAACGGAACTGAACTCTTCGCACGGCCTGCGCATAAGACATGCGCAAGAGCGACTGAGATACAGATACACACAGACGCAGATACAGATGAACAGCAGTCACGCACACAGACACCTACATATGTAGATGCGGGCACAGATACAAGAGAGACACACACACACACACACACACACACACACACACCCAGATACACGTTCGAGGCGGAGCAAAGTAAACAAACATGGCCGAAAATGTTTGTTGCTCATAATCCGATACAAGTGCAAAATGCCTATACACACACACACAGATATATGTATATGTATATGTATATATGTATGTAGATAGCGAAATACGAGTATCTCTCGCAGTCTCTCACTGGCTGACGATTTAGGGCCGTCTTTCATCTCGAGATGTGGCAACTTTTTGGCCAGGTGTTAATCACAGAAGCCATGTAATCATCTTGAATTATTCAGCTGCTCATTTTTTAAGCAATCGCTGAACTTGCTAAATGCCTGCTCAGGCATTGCCAAATGATTCCCTTGAATTCGCCAGTCAGTGATTGTAATTGAAATTCAATTAGGAAAAGAAATAAATTAATTGTTGGGGGCTACAATTATATGAAGAGATTGTAATGTAACAAAAATGAAATAAGAATGCACTCATATATCCCTTACCTTCTATGAGGTTTTATAATTTCTTTACAATTGGCTATCCAACCCAAGACGGGTGAACACTGATTCCAGTCTTTTGGTTTTGGAGTTTGGGTGCTCTGGCCCATATAGTATGTATGTATATGTTTCTGGCAAAAAGTGCACTGCAGTCGATAATCTTAATTTCCTAGCCGTTGTCAAATCTTAAAATCCCATTTTAAAGTTCAACAAAGAGCTCATTGAAAGGAAGTACAATACTTTACTTCTTTACTCGTATCTGTAAAAATAAAATGAATTTCTGGAGAAGTGAAACCGAGGTGAAGCCTCACTTAACAAGCAACGAGTATTTATCAGCAGTTCCTTTTCCACTTGTTTGCCTCATTTGAAATTGATTTCAAGTCCAGGAATCAAGTGGAAAGACATCGTCACCCCACTGATTACCACTTCAGCTGGCTGGGAAATGTTCGAAGCTATTTTTTAATTGCAGAACATTTGCAGCTAATTAGTTGGAGGTCTCCAAGGGCAGTTGAAGCTCGAGTCTCCTGACTCCGATGATGATGAAGATGATAGAAAGGCCCGTAATGACCCTGTCACACACGGACACTTGAGAGAGCAAAAACTTTTTTTGGAGATCGCTGCACTTCAAAGCTACGACCGGCCCCGTCCTGGGCCCGACCCGGCACTTGACGGAGACCAGAGAAAAGTGTCTCCCCGACTTGGCCACTTGAGAGCACCTACCACAGCGTTCCACATCGCACATTGGTTTAGGGTTATGCGGGGTTTTCTTTTCGGTTTCGTTCGGTTTTCGTTTCTTTTCGCCATCGAACAGGTAAGGTAATCATCGTGATGGCGGCTTTCAAACATAAGCAAAATATTGACAGAGCGGCTAAACTCCAAGGCGCAAAAAGACCCCGCCACATCCATATGCATATGCGATGGGATGCGACGTTGCCGACTCATTGGTGCCAGGTACTATCCCCAGGTAATATTTCCATTCGATCCGATC